TGCAAACATGCAAGCCCTGGAACCCCAGGAGGCGGGGCACTCAGACTGGCTGGGTGCAGGTTCCTGTCAAGTGCATTTCACAGGTAAACCCGCTACCTCACTTTCACAGTGCTTGTCGTCCCCAGTCTGAGTCCATTCTTTTGAGCAGGACAAGAACTGAGGAGGGGAATCCCCCTAACTTGGGTCTTCCCAGTAACCGTACTGTTGACCTTTTGGGCCAACAATTTTATCTCCTGGGGTTTTTCCTGCATTGTAGGTGCTTGTTAGCATCCACTACTGCTATTCACTGCTGGTCAGTAATCCCCTCCCTCACTTCTGCCCTCATGACAGTATGAAATGTGCCCCTGCTTTACCTAATGTCCCCCTGGGGGAAAAATCACTTGTGCTTGAGGACCATCGACCTTGACCATTTGTAGAGCATGAATGATTTGGCTTTTGTATATAGTATTTTTATTATCACTTAGTTTAAGTTATTTCTAATTCCAATTGTGATTTGTTTTGGGGGGGTTAGCTGGAAGTATATTTTATAACATACAAATAAAAGGAGTTTCTAGTTACTGTCTGTTTCTGATTTCTAGATGATTAGCAGTGAGAGCAAGTAACATACCTTATATAATTTCACTGAATTGAAATTTGTTGGAACTTGCTTTATAGCACAGTATGTTTTTTTAAATACGTATTATTTTATTTTTTCTCTTTCTAGTCCAAAACTATAACCATGGGCATTTAGAATTGTCACAGGTGGGCACAGATAACCAGGTTTTTGGTGATCTCACACAAAAAATTGAACTGATCACAGAGAGTTTATAGCAGACAGAGAGAGAGAGAGAGAGAGCGAGAGCAGATTTGTTCAGTGATAATACACTGCACAGAACATGGGAGTGGGCCAACTCTGAGCAGAGATTGACCTCAGGGGCCAGAGAGATTCTGTTCTTACAGGGTGGATCCTTCCTGGGTAATTTTGGTGGCTTCTCTTGTGCGTGTACAAGTAGTTGTATTACTTTGAAGTTACTGGGCGTATGGTCTCCCGTGATTTTCCTTGACTGGAAAATCCTTCCCACTGGAGAAGGGGGTTGCACAATGTTAATTTGTTATAATACTATTACAGTGAAGCAGGGGTTATGTAGCATATTCTGTGCAGGTGCATTCGTGAGTCACCATGGTTCAGTGCTTTTCCATAACGCAGGGACAACTGGTCTTAGAACAGGGTCTCTGTCCTGTATGGATGTCCCTTATCTTAGCTCTGGGGCACCTCCAGAATTTCCTCCTTCCTGACTATCTCCTGCCTCAGAATTATACAAATGACACAAATTAAAAAAAAAATACCAAGACACCCAAGTGAGATTTCTGGCAGAGACAAACCACAGTCAGGGGCATTGGCAGAGGTCGGGCTGGGAGCCAGGGGTCAGGCGCTGGGGGGCTCCTCACAGGCTCCTGGCTGACGGTCAGCTCCATTCCACCCCAAGACCCAGAGTCCAGTCAGACAGGGAGCTTCGATCCTGCCGGCAGGGGCCGAACACCTCACAGCCCTGACCCCAGGTGCTCCGCTGGCAGGGGGAGGAGGCAGCAGTGGCTGTGAGAGGCTGTGGCAAGACTGCAGACCCACAGGCCCTGAGTCTGGCTGTCAGCCCTGCAGGGCTGGGAGCAGAGCCAGAAGTCAGGCCTGGAGTGTCCTCTGCTGCCAGTCCCCCCCCCCCCTTCCTGTCACAGCCCTTCTGACTGTGTCTCCAAGGGGAGCAAATTCCTCCATCCTGAGCCAGGTTTATGCAGTCTTAAGTAGAGCCCAGCTGGAATGGCTCACAGCCTCAGGCGAGATCCCGACATCTGCCTGTCACCTTGGGGCAGAGGTGCATTTACTGCTCGGGACCATTTAGGCAAGAGAGCAGTGTCCTGACGTGCCTTCACATTTCCGTCACTGGGAATCAGGGCACAAACCCCTGCCATTCTCTGTCCGTGTCCTGGTCATGCGGACCCCACCTGCATGGTCTGTGTGTTGTGGCTTTGAGAAAGAAATTCACACGGACTACAGAAGTGCCGTGGAGAAAAAGGAACAGCATGGCTGCTCTCTGAGTGAGAGGTCGGGCCCCGACCCCTGTCTGGACAGGCTTTTATTGCTTTTCTGGGCACATTACATCGAGGATGCTCCTCATTTACTGTGCACAGTTTTGCTGTAGGTGGTTACCTTTTACAGATACCAGAGGAAAGAACGTTGCTAGTTATTTCAAGGAGAAGACTGTTGCAGATCAAGGGGAAAAGTGCTTGAACCAGTTACTCTCCATACTTGGGAGGTTTAGCACAGACTTTAGAAAGTTAAAGATACGCAGTAAACGTTTGCTGCCTCAGTTCAGGGTGAGGGAGTTTTAACAAAAGCGAGTCTCATAGCAGCCTAGGTACAATGTAGGCCTGATTCCCCACAGGAAAACCTATCCATGGGTGTGGGTCCTGTGTGCCAATCTCACTCTCCACCGGCCTTTCTCAGTAGGGGCTGGGCTACATTCCCCACGCCACATGGAACAGTTCACTATATCCTGGCATCTCTCTTGGAATCAAAAGACACAACCTATGGCTTCATTCAGAGAGGGGAGGGCTTCCCAACTGTAACAAGCCCAGCAGTAATGGCCTCCTAGTTCAAAAGAAACTGGCTCCCGCCCCGCTACCTCCCCGTCTCTGGGACTGGAGGAGTGCGATGCTGGAAGTGCAGGGGCCCCTCACTACCAGGAGGACAAAACACAGGCCCAGGAAGACAGAGCAGAAGGACAGGTGGAGCTGTGTGCCTGGTGCTGCTGCCGGGCTGCCTGGCAGCCGGGCCTCTGGGCCTGGACTGTGTGATGGAGCCACAGGTCAGTCTTGCTCTTGAACCATCTTGCCGACATTTCCGGGCATGTGGCTGAAGGTGTTTCTGCCTCACAGACTTGAGACCATGCAGGTAAAACACGCAGCACACGCTGCTCAGTAACCTGGAACCGATGGTTCTTCCTGGTCGGCCAAGGTCCTGAGCAAAGTCCTGAGAACTTGGCTGGTCTGGCTGCTGTCTGGACAAGCACGGACCACAGGGAGGCTCACGTGTCATGGTGCCTGGACCATCACAGGAAGGATGCCTGTGTCCATCCCCGACACTACTGTGATGGGAATCTGTGGTTGGAGTCAGAGCCCCTCTCCTGATTCCAGAGCAACTGTACCCAGATTTTGTCATGGGCTTTTCCTGCTTCATTTGTCTCCCTGTTCAAGTCACTGCCCAGGCCAGAGATGGCTGCCCTCACCTCGGACAGAGAGTCGGTCGGTGTGTCCCAGGGAGGCCCAGAGGGTTCTAATGAGTCACCTGGCTGAGGACCACGGACCCGGGTGACACTGTGGCTCAACACAGTGACACACAAGCCACGAGCAAACACAGTTCACAGATGTGCACTGGCCCCTGCTGGACATGGTCAGGCTGGAGACAGGAGGGTGGCTGTTGCTGTCAGTGTGAGTCCAGCTGTCACTGCAGAATTTAACTCATCACCTTGGAGGCCGTCACCTTGAACCCTTGGGCTGTACACGGGCACGCTCTGCAGACAGACACGCGGTGCTCCACCCTGGGGATCAGAGGCAGGTTTGGCTCGTCCATCCAGTGCCACCCAGAGAGCAGATGAGGAACCTCCGGGGCACTGGCCTAGAAGGACCATCCTCTCCATTAAACAACCAGCTTCTGGGCAAAGGCAGGAGACTCAGCATCCAGCAGATGTCAGGCTGCACTCACTCCTTGGAGCCTCCACCTCAAAACAAGGACGGAGGCTGCCAGCCACTGCCATGTGGGAGTGGGGGTTGTGTAAACACCCAGCTTCCTGCACAAGGTGGTCTGAGATTGTGTGAACTATGCAAGCAAGGTTGAAACAAAGGTTTTTCTTTCTGACTTAGCTTTGAGAGCCACACACCATTTTCACAACACAGATCAGTTCGCTGTGTGGAGGAACTGTACAAGGTCGGGGTGACAGCATGTGCATTTGGGGGACACCTTGGAGGCTGGCAGCTACACTAAGAATGTGGTTTGCTGCTGAAGGGGAGGGAGAGCGAACAGACCTGTGTACTCATCTTGAGTTGCTAAGCCTTCTGGGAGAGCTCCAGGGTCTGTCTTGGTTGGGGGGGGTGAGCATCACGTGACAGTCTGTGGGTTCCCTTCCCACTGTATTCAGCGCCAGCCCCTCTGCCAGCACTACACCAGCACTCTGCCCCTCTCCCATGGCCCATGCTGAAATATCGAGTTTACGGTGTTCTCTCTGCGCTGTGGTGGTTGGGGGGGTGGGGGAACAGGAAAGAGAACACCCAAGAAAGACACCTTCCTTTAAAAAACATAAAAGAATAGTGGATATATATTATTGAAATCCACATAGTTTATGTAGACACTTCTTTATAAGCCTGTCACTGGGAGGACAGAAAGGTCATTGTTCCAGGTCATGGGCGTAGGTGTCCCCCTTTGGTGAACCCACTGCAGCAGGAACAGGGTGGGTCATGCTTAGGTCGTGTCCCTCATGCAGGAGAAGGTATGATGGTGTCCTCACTAATGTTTGACATCTCTATGTATTGAACTCAGCTCCAGTTCTAAGAAAAGAGTGACCTCTGGGAGCTGTTAATACCCTTGCTTATGCAGATATAGATGTTTACCCTGTTCCCACCCTGAGTCTTGATGAACTCCCACCCATTGGGCCCACCAGAATTTTGTGCTCCTGGGTCACTGTAGATATTACCTGGGAGTGGGTGCCCAGGAATGACCAACACTGTGCATGCTTATCATCCTACCAGGCTTCACAAACGTTTAAAGATTCGATAAGTAATAATATTGAGATGGTGTCAGTGATGTATGAAGCCCCATGGGGCTCAGGCACAAGGACAGTACATCACAGAAGCTGCTGTGTCGTGGGCCTCATGAATGCCACGTGCAGACTGGGTGCCCCTGTCCCTGGAGATACTCGGTCTTTCCTGCCAATGCAGTAAAGGATTACAGATCATCAAGTGCATTAGCGTGCAAGCAGGGTTTATTAGTGATACATTCTTGTGGAAGAGAACACATCTTGCTGAGATGGGAGTGAAAGACAAGAAGTTGGGTGGCAAGAGCACCAGGTCCTTTGTCCTGAGGACTTATATAGTTGGTGGGATGGGGGCAAAGTTAGATATTGATTGGCAAGTAAAAGTGGTGCCAGCTTCCGCGGGGGGAAGAGACTGCACTAACTTAGGTATGTGTGGGGGGTTCTTAGCTCAAATCCTTATTTGGCTTCAGATTCCATTTGGTCATCTTGTAAAATAAACACATGACAGGAGACAGTTGAAGTGTAGGCAGTAACCCAGTTATCTATGGGCTCTTTCTGTAAGCACTAGGCCCCTCTCATAAAACAGAGAGTGGCCAGAGGCAAGCAATTAGCCAAATTTGTTTTATGGGTCCTTTCCTTGAATGCTGTGCACCCCCTCCCATCTTCTAGGCCTTGGGAGGAATATTTTCAAAGCCGTTCTATCTCAGACAATGGAAATGATACCTATAATTTCAACATGTTAGCAAGGTGTTTCTTGTGATGCCAGAACATCTGGCAATGGAATCGGACCAGGCGCAGGACTGCTGAGTCAGTAGGTGACACGCGTCTTCCTCGTCCTCCCTTGGCTCACCATCTACCGTCACACCAGTGCAGACAGGTGCTGCTCCCTGTCAGTTCTCAGCAAGGGGTGGGCGAGAGTCTTGTTTCACAGCTCACTCTCAGCACCACCTGCCTGTGTTGAGGAGGCTCTGAGGGTGCACAGGCGCAGTGAGAGGGTGGTAATATGGAGGGAGGCATATCCCCCACCTCAGGCCTCCTTCTCAGGGCAGCTGAGACTAGACTTCTCTGTCTATGGGGAAAGCAGTGGGGTCTGCTCAAATTCTCAATTTGGCTACACACCCCTACCCTGTCCTTATCTTCCTTTGTCCAGCACTAAAGACCAGGAAGACATGGGCACTTAAGGCTGTTCAGCAGGACTTGTGATCTCAGCAATCCTCTTGCCAGATTCTGTCTGTGCTGACTCAACTTTGAATGTCAAACTGAAAGGCTGGAGTTCCCATTTCCATTGCACAGACTAGGAAGCAGGCAGAGAGAAGTTGAGAATCTTGCCTTAGGTCACACAGCTGGAGAAGACAGAGCTGAGACTCACACCTACTACGGACTGATGTGGAATCTGTGTGCTGTGCACCAGGAAATGCTGACCCTGAAAAGGCAGCAAGGAGTGAGGAAGACCAGGTGCCCAGACTGAGTGGCTCACATTTGTGCACAAGCATCCATCTCTCCCTGCTGTTCACATCTCTGAGGCTCCAGAGGTTGTAGGAAACCAGAAGAGCCAAGAGAAGCCAAGGGAGGAGGGTAGGGAGCTGATTAGGAAAAAAGGCTTCACTTCCCAGGAGTTGGGAATTCCCTTCCCAGGTGAGTCTGTCTCAAATCCCTCTCTCTGGGCAGTAACCAAAGTAGACAGATTCCAAACTTACGCATTTCTAGGAGCTGATTTTCTGTGGCTGAGAATATGAGTTCTTTGTGGTTCTTTCTGAACTCTCTGCTTTCAGTGACGGGGGTATGAGGAACGTGGGCTACATATTTGTATGGAGACAAAACTCTTTAGACCGGGATATCCAAAAACCATGGAAGAGATTGGTGCTGATATCCCATTATCACTCATGGGACTGTTTGTCCATCTTGTCTCTTGCAATGAAAGTGGAAGGTTTAACTAGTTACTTCTGTACTAATTACAATCTTGGGGAGAGTAAGGTTCCGTAGACTTCTTATGGTTACTTACATGTGATTTAATGGTAATGATTCATTCACTTCACCAGCAAACATAGGCCTTCTCCCCAGAATGTGTCCCCTGGTGTCTGAGGAGATGTGACCGCTGTGTAAAGCCTCGCCCACACTCCCTGCAAACATAGGGCTTCTCCCCTGAGTGTGTCCTCTGGTGTGTGATGAGATGTGACCGCTGTGTAAAGCCTCGCCCACACTCCTTACAAACAAAGGGCTTCTCCCCTGAGTGTGTCCTCTGGTGTCTGAGGAGATGTGACCACTGTGTAAAGGCTCGCCAACACTTGCTGCAAACAAAGGGCTTCTCTCCTGAGTGTATCCTCTGATGTGCAACAAGAACTGACTTCTGTATAAAGCCTCGCCCACACTCCCTGCAGACATAGGGCTTCTCCCCTGAGTGTGTCCTCTGGTGTCTGATGAGCACTGACTTCTGTTTAAAGCCTCGCTCACACTCCTTGCAGACATAGGGCTTCTCCCCTGAGTGTGTCCTCTGGTGTGCAATGAGAACTGACTTCTGTCTAAAGCCTTGCCCACACTCCCTGCAGACATAGGGCTTCTCCCCTGAGTGGGTCCTCTGGTGTGCAATGAGAACTGACTTCCAGGTAAAGCCTTGCCCACACTCCCTGCAGACATAGGGCTTCTCCCCAGAGTGTGTCCCCTGGTGTCTTAGGAGATGTGACCGCTGTGTAAAGCCTCGTCCGCACTCCCTGCAGACATAGGGCTTCTCCCCTGAGTGTGTCCTCTGGTGTGTGATGAGATTTGACCGCTGTGTAAAGCTTCGCCCACACTCCCTGCAGACATAGGGCTTCTCCCCTGAGTGTGTCCTCTGGTGTGTGATGAGAACTGACTTGTTTGTAAAACCTCGCCCACAGTCCCTGCAAACAAAGGGCTTCTCCCCTGAGTGTGTCCTCTGGTGTGCAATGAGAACTGACTTCCAGGTAAAGCCTCGCCCGCACTCCCTGCAGACATAGGGCTTCTCCCCTGAGTGTGTTCTCTGGCCTCTGAGATGTGACCCATCATTGAAGCCTTGCCAACACCCTCCATGCTGGATTGTTACAATCGTTGACATTTCTACTTTCACAAAGAACTTGCCTGCACCCTCCGGACTCTCTTCCTGGCCTCTGTGGGGCTCTTCCTCCATCAGTCTCTCGTGCTCACTAAAGCTCCTCATTTGTTCTTTGGAGGGGTGGAAAAAGGGTCTTGAGATTCTCTCCTGACTGATCCTTTTAAGCAAAAGTTTGGACCTTCCCTTGACTTCTTGATCTTCATGTTTACCATTCCAGCCGTGTGTACTAGTATGTTGCTGCTGCAGATTCTGATCCTCTAGGCAGGGTTGGAGGTATTTTCTTGCAGGTGTTCCCAGGAGAATCTGAGGGGGATGATTGAATTTCATATGTCGGCTGAGGAATTTCTGACTGGAGAAGGCCAAAGAGCAGGAGGGACATGGGTGCACCTCTGGCTTTGGTTCCGCTGAAAGAGAAAGATTTGGTCAGGGCAGATGTTGATGAGGATAAATACCAGGGACATATGATTAGTCTCCTGGTAAGACCTGCCCCATGAGTACTTCTTACTGTGGTGACAACACAACCTGTCTCCCACAGTGTCCACTCGCCGTCTATTTTCCTGTTTATTTTTATGCAGTGCATCTTCCTCAGAAATCCAGAAAGCCCACATCAAGGGACTTTTCTAACATTGCCCAGACTAGGGACTTTTGGAGCATGAGAGACCATTTCACTCTGTGTGTGGATCAAACTGCAGTGACATTTCCCATCTGTAGGTATCTTCTAAGTCATGTTACAGAGGAAAACCATAGGCCCCAAATAGGAATTGCTTCTCTCTGGTTTCCAAAATAGTAAAATAAGATGTCCTTCCTGCCCTTGCTCATGCGGCTCAGTGGGTTGAATGCCAGCCTGCTAAGCAAGGGGTCACAGGTTTGATTCCCAGTCAGGGCACGTGCCTGGGTTGTGGGCCAGGTCCCCAGTAGGGGGCACGTGAGAGCCAACCATGCATTGATGTTTCCCTCTAAAAATAAATAAAATCTAAAAAAAAAGTCCTTCCTTAAGCCTCACACCAGATACTCATGCTTCATTTCATTCAGCATTAGCCTATTTCAAATATACTGAGAAGCCCTGTTTCAAAATATTTCAACTGCATTTTTTACACGCCTGACTCCTGTTCCTCTCTGGCCAATCCACCGTGCTCTCTCACTGGGAGATGAGTAATCTGGCGGGATTCCCCACTGGAGTTTACTTTCTAAAAATTAACAAAACAATCAGAACAGAGAACACACCACTCTACAGCTGACGACTGCACACTTTCACTCAGGAAAGCCCCCACGTCTCAATTCAGATCATCACTACATTTCCAGGCTGCTAAGCATCTGTCTGATCTGTTCTTACCCTCTAGGCTGAGAGGAGACCCATGTGACCCTCAGTGAACTCAACGCAGAACCTCTTCTCTTCCCCGCACTAGCTGTTCCCTCTGCCCCCAGGTATTTTTGTAAATGTCGTCTCCTGAGGAGCCCTTCCCGGACCACCTGCCACAGAGCACCTCCCCTCACACTGATCCCCAGGCACTTGTCCCGGATTAGTTTTCTCCAAAGCACTAACCGCTGTGTGGTGTCATGCACATGGGAGCTCATGTGCCTGGGTTTCCCTCCTTCACCCGTCAGCCCCTCAAGAGCAGTGACTCTCTCCTCATGTTAATGCCTATTTCCAGGTCCCACCACCCTGTGTGCCACAGAGTAGGATCTCACCTGACAGTTCACTGAAGTAATGAATGAACATGCCCTGTCCGAATGGTGTGGCTCAGTGGGTTGGGTGTTGTCCCATAAACCGAAAGGTTACAAGTTTGATTCCCAGTCAGGGCACATGCCAGGGTTGTGGGCCAGTTGTGGGTGTGCCAGAGACAACTGATTAATGTTTCCTTGCACATTGATATTTTTCTCCCTCCTTCCCACTCTTTCTTTTAAAAAGAGATTTGATCTATTTATTTATTTATTTTCAGAAAAGGGGGAAGGGAGCGAGGGAGAGAAACATCCATGTGTGGGTGCCTCTCGAGCACCCCTTACTGGGGACCTGGCCCGAAACCCAGGCATGTGGCCTGACTGGACATCGGCGACCCTTTAGTTGGCAGGCTGACAGTCAATCCACTGAACAACACCATCCCAGGCAAAATCTGTAAAAAATAATGAATGCCTATAAGAAATGTCTCATTTAGAAGTATGGAGGAAAATTAAGAAGAAACAGCTATAAAAATGTCAGAAAAACTGCCTTGGCGAGAGAGCTGGTTAGTGCTTGAAAACTTTTTTTGTCTGTCAGCCTTTAGGCAGTAAAAGCAGTCGTATATTTTGGGCATGAAGTTTTAAAAAATTAAATATATAAAAATTTTGCCTAAGAGTCAAAGGCATATGAATGCATTTTGAATTTCTGAACCATGTGATTTGAAACTTTACTGACTTTAGAGTGGATTTTACTCTACTTAAGAGTTGGATCATGAATATGTCTATGGAAAATTCTCTGTTTTCTTTCCGTTTTGAAGAACAGTGGTGCCCACCTCTTCCGGCCATGAGCTCTCTCTTCCACTTGCTGCCCCACCTGCTGCCCAGCTCCTGACCATACTCTTCCCCACACCAGACCAGCAGCTCACAGCCCCGGCTGATGACCCGGCAGGTTCGGTAGAAAATCTGCCCGTGGTATTGAAACGCCACCAGGTTCTGCTCTTCATGATCCCGGGCACAGTTCACATACCTGGGATGAGTTAGAGGAAAGAAAAGAAAAGCACAGTGATGAGTTCTCAGTACCTGTTACATCCACGTCCAGCCCCTCACTGATTCTTAAGGCCCTCAGGCTCTGGTGTTGCCCACGGCCCCTAATGCTCTTGGGGAACCTTCTGTTCAGCATCTGAGCGTCTGCCAGCATGTCACGTGAATTCCTACCTCCAAGTACTGCTTGCAGTGTTCATCTTGCTTAATACCATTTTCTAAAACCCAGTTCTAGACTTAACCTCCACCATGACTGGCCATAATATCCAGTGATCTCTGGCTTCTCCAAACTCAAAATCAAGTTGTCTCCCACCACAGAACCTGGTGCTTGATCTTGGGCTCTGCTTCTAAATTAGCTCACTAATTACCCAGCACTCAGTCCACATCTATTTTCTCTCGAGAGGCCTTTCTTCAACCCCCCTACACTTTATGTAAGATACCATTTGCTTGCCTGACCAAGGTTACTATGGACAATTAAATTGAATGTCTTTTTGTCTTGTTAGAATAAAACAGAATAGTAGTTGATACACATTCTGGTATCCCTGATAAAAGAGAGCCCCTCTCAGGAAAGGGGCCATGACCGTTCCTCTGCAGGCCTCAGAGCCCAGCTCTAGATAGAAGTAACGTCGGGATAGTTTGCTGCCTGCACAGGTTTAGGCCAACCATGGTTTGTGCTATCTCGACACTGTGCACTTCTTGGAAATTCTAGTTAAATGCTTCTAAAAGCAATTGTTTTATGTCTGTCTGTGAGAAGTCATCTATAAGGACATGGGTTGTGTGATCTGTTTAAGTAATGTTATATTCCTTCACCTAAACTGGAATATACTAAGTGCTTAGTTAATGTTCATGTGAATCTAGGCTCTTCAAGGTCCTTTCCAGTGCCCACATTGTGTCTAGTAGAGATCTTTATATTTTGAGGACATGTGCCATACTTTTTTCTAAATGTCCCCTGAAATGAAAGAACACTGTATGGAGAAAAAGAGGGAAAAAGGATGAAGGGAGCCCACTGAGGGAGGCATGATGAGAGGGAAAGGTATATGGGCCTGTGGGGGATGAGAGTCCCCTCTGGCACCCAGAGACCTGTTGCCCTCACCTCATCCAGTTGGCCCAGGATTTGTCCTTCCCATCCACATACTCATAGCAGTTTCTCCCTTTGGCGATCTGTGTTTCAGAAGAGAAGTTAAAGACCTTTTATTTTTTTGGTGGGGAGGTAATAGAATTATTTTACTCCACAGTCATCAAAGCTCATTCAGCCTTCATGGGGATTCAACTGCCAGCTATGACCACATGATATTTTTCTTACTCATCACCTACACAGCCGAGTCTACCTGTCCAATCAGAGCAGGACCCTCACAAGGGAGGAGCCACTCCTTTGCGTCTGCACCGCTTTGCTCCCACTTATCTTCTGGTCCTTAAACAGGAGCTCTGTGTTCATATAAAGTCCAGTCAGTACACAGAGCTGACCACATCGTCCCCTCCATGTCTAGCCTGTATGAGGTGAGGTCCCTCCAAGCCTCAGAAGGAATGTGGGAAGCCAGAAGACAATGGAAGAGGTAAATAGTTCTCACCAGCCAGGAGTATCTGCTCTTGGCTGCCTCTTCATCTTCTGTGATGTGTCCTTCATAAGGGCCAAAGTGCAGACCCACAGGCAAATCAGCTGCCTCATTCCACACTCCAAGCCCAGCCTCAGGGATGCAGGATGGCCCGATTCGCAACCCAGGGGGCAGGGTGAGGGCTGAGCGGTGGGGATGCCCCTTGTCCACTGCATGGTCCTTTACAAATGCAGGGAGTCCATGCACAGCACAGCTGTCGATGAAGAAGTTCTGACACTTCTCACAATCTGGAGGCGAGAGCAACAGGGGTTAGGGAAGGTATAGCGCACGTTCCTGGACACAAAGAGCTTCAGTGGGAGTCCAGCACTGATATCACTGAGACTCAATCCTGTATTCCAGGTCACTAGAGGAAGGGAATGATTTGGGGACCAAAGGACTAGATGAAATGATTGTATCATAACTTGCTTCTTAGTGAGGGTCACTTACAAAGGTAGTCATCATCCTGGGGCTCAGTGACCTCTTGGTACACACAGTCCTTTCTTTCTTGTAGGCTGTACATCTTCACGTCCATCTCCTTTCTCCTGAGTTCTGAGTTGGAGAAGAGCAGGTGAGCCAGGTTGGTGGGATCTATAGTGTTAGTTCCCATTTTGTCAGATAACACACAATCTGCTCCCATCAATTTATTACCTGTCCTTTTGCATACTCTGGTATTACTGTTAACTATTGGTTCGGAAAACTAAGACCCCATAGTAACTACAGATGACTGATTCAATTCTAGTTTCTAGATCTTCCCATTACCAGGTTTAACTTGCCAACCTTTAATCATTCATAAAATGTTTCTTGAGTGCACATTATGTGTTAGGCATTGAGTAAAGGCCTGGGCACACAACACCAGTACAGTGTGGTTGCTATTATCACAGATGGATTTTTTGGACAGCTTGCATGTGTCACCTGTTTTAAATTCAATTTAATGTTTTCAAATATATGAGTGAGGTTTCCTTATCTTCACTTTACACATTAGCAGGCAGGGGCTCAGAGAATTTATAGGATTTGCTCAAAGGTCCATTGGTAACTTCAGTCTCAGCTTAGCCGAGCTTAAATCCAGGCCTACCAAAGTCTGCCCCACATACCTAGGTCATACTTATCAGCCCCTCTGTAGGACTTAGAGGAACTAAAGTTTCCAAATTATTTTCTTACCCAATTTTTGTCTAGTGTGCTTTCCAAAGGCACATGCCTCTCCAGGAGGGGACACTGGTTTCTGGGCCTCCTCTGAGTCACTTGCAGTCGTCAAATTTGCTGTTCCTGACAATTCCTCCAAACTATATTCACTGCTTAATGGTATCTTGGATGTTGCCTTCAATATAAGAGTCACATATTAAAAGATAACATGTATTTAATTTTTTAAGGCTTACGGTACATTTTACATGCATGTCATGTATATACTTGACATGCATGTCATGATAATACTTCAACCCTTGGAAACACCTAGGGGGTATGAATATTAGAGGGGATAGGGCCAATGTGGGTGATGAATCCAAGATTAGAACTCATGCCTTATGGCTCTTTTCTTTTGTATAACATTGAGAATGAAGGATATTGGGAAGAGAATAAAGAAATACTTGGCAGAACATCTAGACAATAAATAAAATGGTGATAAAATTTGCAGTACCTTAGAAAGAATATTTGTACTTAGGTTAGCTGGTTCCCACCAATTCTGTTCAAATAAGGCTGTATCAGTAGCTAGTTGTCTTCAGTTTCATGATCTATAACATACTAATTTTCAATGTTACAGTGAACGTGCAATTACATAATGCTCACCCAAGTGTTCTGTGAATTGTGTAATACAGTATGAATGTGAGATGACAGTCCTGCTATCAATTTACCCCTCAGGTCTCTCCATATTTCAAATCCCACAGAAACTGCCTTCAGTATTCATTGATCATCTTCTAGTTTAATTTGTAATTGTGAAATCATTCATTCAGCAAACATTCGGGGGCCCTCAGGGGCCCTGACCTGGGCCTGTGACCTCTGAGAAGTCTCAGGTATGGACCAGGCTCTCAAAGAGCTCACAACGCTGAGGGAGGCGGGTTGAACAAATGATTCTAAACGGGATGAGAGTGGCCTCATTGGAACTCAGACAAAGAAGCTGTTACTTCACCCTATAAGAAAGGGCATTTGAAACCAGTTCCGGATGGATGAGTTTCTACAGAAGAGTGTGTAACCTATATGAAATCCTTAAGTCACTTTATTATTTGTTGTTTCTCAATCATCAAACCTGAAGCCCCTCAGGGGTGGGAGATGCTTTTTTTGATTAGAGTGATCTTGGACATTTCATTCTTCTTCATCTGGGACCATCCACTGCACAAGCTGCCTACACATGGTACACTTTCCTTATTCAGAGGGTCTTAGTGCATCTCTCACTTCAGTATAGCAGAGAAGAACTTTGGTTGAAACTGTTAGTCAGATGAATGATGTAATGACATACGGATAAGACAATGTAAGATTTAGAAACTATGAAAGTTTATTTTTCTAATTTTTAAAAAAGATTTTGTTCATTTTCTTGAGAGAGGGGAAGCAAGGGAGAAAGAGAGAGAGAGAGACATTGATGTGAGAGAAACACTGATCACTCGCCTTTCACACACACCCCAACCTGGAAACTGACCCACAATCCACACATGCACCCTGACCAGGAATCAAACTGGCGATCTTTCGATTTGCAGCATGACAACCAACTGGTCATGGTGGCCAGGGCAAAACCCTGAAAGTTTTAATGAGTTTGTAAGTGGTTTAGAGAAGCAACTATGGGTTAGATTGCACTACCAGCCAGGTGTGAGGAGTGTCCCCACACCTGGCTGCCACATGGCCTGCATGGACCACTGAAACTGTGATCTTAGATATATAGTCCAACATTTCTGTATCTTTGAAAGCTCACTTTCCTCATCGTTATGGAGACAGTTATACAGTATGTACCTCATTGGGTTGTAATGTTTGAGTGAGTTTATTCACACAGAATTCTTAAAGTCTGAAACATTGTGAGAATGAAACAAATGGTGGTTACTATTGTTGCTGTAGTTGTTAACTATTAAGATGATGATGAGCCCTGGCTGGTGTGACTCAGTGGATTGGGTGCTGGCCTGCAGAGTGAAAGGTCACCAGTTCCATTCCCAGTCAGGGCACACGCCTGGGTTACAGTTCAGGGTCCCTACTTGGGGGTGGGTGAGTGGCAACCCAGACAGGTGTGTCTCGCACATGCTCCTCTCCCCACTTTCTCCCTCCTTTCCCCTCTCTCTAAAACATCAATAAATTAAATCTTTTAAAAAAGATGGTGATATCAAACAATGTGTTGAAGAGACCAGGAAAGGAAGGCAGCAGTTCCTAGGCTACTTTCTGCATTTTCCTACTCTTACCTACATTTCTATCCATGGAGAAATTGTTCCTGTCAACAGGATTTGGAAATACTTACCTTCTGATGTTTACTCTGTTTACTCCTGATGGTCACCAAAGAAGGTTTGACTGAAAGATGATGAGAAATCAGGGTTTTGGTTGGTAAATGTTTCCAAAATCTGAAGATTCTTATTAGGGAGACAGAATTCTGAATGAGTAGTCCAAGAACAATCCCAGGATGATTGGAAAATGTTTTCTGAGGTATCGTTAAGGCCTAGGCTTCTAATGGGGCCATCCACTAATTTCATTAGAGTGATAAAAAAAATAGACAAAGCTTCTTCTACACTTCCTTTTATGTTCATAAACCATCTATTACATTTATTAATAAATTAGCCTCTCCTTACAAAAACGTAATAAGAGTAACTGCACAGAAACTCCATGTCTTCAACATAACCCTTTCTCTGCTCTGTTGTCTTCATTCAAACTGGCCTTGTCCAGGCTAAGGGCACTACCAACCCCTCGCCTCCTTTCTCTGGTATCCTCCTCCCTGTGCACATATTGGCCATCCACGCCCTTCCTTAATTATCAGACTCTGGTCAGCATCCACAGTCTGCTGATCACAGAAACAGAATTCCAGTCAAGTTAAAGATCACATCTTGACTTCAGCTGTTTCAACCTGAGACCCATGAAAGTGGACTGACCCCACCAATCAAACATTGATGATATAGGACAGAACGGCACTATAGCTGATATCACGAAATGATACAGTGATCAGCCACTTCCGACCCTGGCCCTCCCTGCAGCTCCATAATCACCATGTTAATACTGTTCCCATGCAGGCCATGTGGCAGCCAGGTGTGGGGACACTCCTCACCGGCCAGACCTGCCTCCCTCTATTGCCATGACAACTCTTCTGAATTAGTTATTTTTTATTCCCTTGTATATTCCTATACATTTACTCATGATTAGTGTGTCTATAAATATAAAAGATGATTTTGCGCACTTGAAAGTTTATAGGAACAGCCCCTCCCTGTACCACACATTGTTCTGCATCCTGTATGTTCGCTGGACAAGCAAACCCTGCTGCCTGGTTATGTCCTGAGATGCAGCCTGACCTAAACCAGGTCCGTGCCAGGAGGGCAGCTCTGGCTCCTCCTGCCCCTCACCTTGCTGCCTCGGAGTCCATTGTTCATCAGAGTCCTCAGGGTCCTCCTCCTGGAGCTCGGTGGTCCAGCTGCGGTGGTGACACAGGAAAGCTGGTTGCAGGGCCCTGAGCCCTGGAAAAAGACAAAACCTTTGTCCTGAAAGCACAGAGCTGGGAGGAGGAACAAACTCCAGGAAGCCCATGGGACCAGCTCCGATGGGATGGGAGAATCCCCAAGGAGTTGCTGTGAGAGCTGCACCCATCAGTCAGCGCCTGCCCTGACGTAAGGAGCAAATGCCCCCTGACTTGCAGGAGGGAGCCTCAGGCGAGGAAGCTGCCTGAGCTCGAGCCAGCCCAACAGCCTGGGGGGTTCACCAGGCCCCTCAACCCAGTGCCTGCGCGCTACCTGGGCTGGGGAGCACCTCGAAGTTCCTATTCACGTTCTGGTACCAGCCTTTCTCCCAGTCTCCCATCTCTGTCCACTCCTCCCTGGAGAAGTAGAGGGAAGCGTCTTCCAAAGCTTCAGCCTGGAGAGGAGAGGGAAACATCAGTAACTCGGTGATGCGAGTGAGAACGCGCACGGAGGGTCTTCCCTGCCCTGGGCCCGCAACGCGGAGTCCCTTCTCTCCCATCAGCGCTCTGCACCTGCACTGCCAGGGTCACCCCGAGGGCCGGGCATCTGCGGACCCCTGTCCCCAGCCCTGCCCCACGTTCCCCGCTGGCCCCTCGGCTCACCTGAGGCTTCTGCCCCATCCGCCCCGCTTCTCCCTCAGGGTTGTGCTGCGGGCCCCCGTCGGGGTTCATGGCGTCCCAGCCCCGAGTCCTCCGAGTGCCTGTGGAAGGAGAAGGCGCTGAGGGCTGAACAGCTTTCTCCTGGCTGTATGGGCGGCAGGGCGGCAGGCCGCTGGGAGAGGGGGACGCGGGGCCCGGCGGGAGGAGGGGCTGGACGGCCTGGGGCGTCTTCCGGGCTGAGGACACTGAGGCCTGGGGGGAGGGTCAGACCCTGTGGCTGAGATTTGGGGCGTCTCATCCAGGGGCTTCAGGGGCCCACCACTGAGTCGGTTTCCAGGACGACGGCATTTAGAGTCTCTGGGTTTGGGGAGATTTGGTCTTTCCAGGCGAGCTGCAGGTTGGGGTGACCCGAGCCGAGGGGAACTGGGGTTTTCAGGCTGTTTGGGGGTCTAAGCATCGGGGGTTAGGAGATGTGGGTCCTCCGGGTTGGCGGACGCGGTCCCCTCGATGCTGAAGGAGTTTGGGGACCCCTCGGGATGAGGACATCTGGGGTGTCTTAGGCTGGACTTTGAAGGTCTCGGGGTAAGGGTTCCACGCAGCAAGGCTCCCCGCTTACCGGTCAGTCTCCTAGGGACCCTGCGGCACCGCCCACATCCGTGGAGCTCCTCTCCGAGCTCAGGTACTTCCCGCCTGGGGGGGAGGTTCTATTCTAGATAGGGGCCAATCAGTGCTGAGATCCCCGGTCCCTGCCCGCCAATGGGCGGTCAGAAGAAGCTAAAAGGGCGGGGCAGAGGGGCAGAGCCTCCTAGGTTCCGGACTGGCCAGCGGAAGACCCGCCCTACCCCTCGGGGATTGGCTACCCAGGGGTCTCCAGAGCGCCTGTCACTAAACCAGGGATGTCAAACTCACTTGGGGGGGGGGGGCACATCAGCCTCCCCGTTGCCTTCAAAAGGCTGAATGTAATTTCGGCTCCTTAACAGTTACAGAGTAGTTATATTTATGCAGCCCTAACATTATTTCGGCCCTTTGAGGGCACCCGCAGTCTGCAGCTCCAAGGCTCGTAGTCCCGAAGCTGGTGAGGAGTCATTCCTGCAGGAGTTTGGAACTCCGAGCCGGATCTTAGGGTGGACGTGGGCCTCCTGCCTCCTGACAAAGTCTTTGTTCCACCAGACTGTGGTCGGGATCCCCAAGTTACATCTAGGCCCTTCCGTGCTCCCCCCTCCCCTTTTCAAACCCACTTTCAGCGAGAGCTGCATAAGCAGTGAGGACGCGGTCAAGACTGCATTGCATTCCGTGGAAACTTAAGTCAGTAAATTCCGACCACGCAATTCATAGACACAAAATAAGTTCCAGAGGGTTCAAATATTTAAGCACAACAGACATAATAAGTATACTGGAAAACACACTGGGAGAATTTCACATCTCAAAGTGGCATTATGAGCTATATGTATGTTTAAGTAACATTTCAGAAATAGATGAGATAAAACCAAGCAAAACTAAATAAATTTAGAAATACTGGAAAAACCTACAAGTATTTTGCATGAAAATAACATCAAATTTGAGTACAGGGGTCCACAGAGCAGGGTCGGTTTAGCTGCTACTGGCTTTCATGAGATAAAGTGGGAAGAGTGTTTCTGGTCCCTACCTCGTTTTGAGCACGTAAATATAACTTGATTTCCATGGACTGGAACTGTGCCAACTAACTGTAATTATTAATGTGAAACTACATAAAGGGAAACCTCACTAAAGAGGAGTTGGGGGCCAGTGGAGGTGTTCCACATAGCACCACCCAGGGTCAATTACAGGAAAAATTGTCTGTCACAGGCCCCAACATGAAGATCCCAGGAAAAACCGGCTCCCCAGCAATTCAGGCAGCTAGAAGCCATTGTCACCCTGAACTGAGGATTTTCTGCACTGCACTTTCATTTGAAATGACCCCTCCCAACTTCGTCCTTTCTCCCTATAGAATAACATTCCTCTCCTTTACTTGTGGAGCTTACCTATCTTTTGCTAAAGCTTGCTTGTCCTAAATCGCATTTTTTGTTACTATTTCTGAATAAATCCCTTACCTGCTGGTAAAATAACTGCCTGCTATATTTTAAGGTGAACATAACTTGGTGGCTCCTATGGGGATCCAGAGGACTCCTGAGATCTCTGAGGCTGATGAGCAAGCAGGTGCAGTGTCCTTGCTCTGAAAGACTCAGGGAAAGGTCCTTTGGTGCAGACCTCTGGATCATTTTGAGAGTAGCTATTCAGAAATAATATCCTCATACCCTCTGACCCAGAAATTCCATTTTTCAAAATTTTTATCTAGTAGCCCTGGCCTGGTAGTTCAGTTGGTTAGAGTGTCCTGCCTATATACCAAGGTGGTCAGTTCATTCTCCAGTCAGGGCACATACAAGAAGCAATCAATGAATGAATGCATAAATGGAACAATTCTTTCTCCCTATTTCAAATTAATAAGTGAATTTTTAAAAAAAGCATAAAAATCCCCCCAGTTATGCTTCCCTGTATCTGAAATGAAATATGTTTAAAGTATTGTATCTAACACTTATACAATAACATAATTTTAAAGTTTTTGGTAGAAGAGAATTTGTTAAATTATGGTTTGATCACACTGGGAAATATAGGATGTTGAAAATGGGTGAGGATACATGGTATTTAATTAAAGAAACAAAACCTAGTAAGGTGGTTCTAATGGAATTTAACAGAGAATAGTTTCTAAGTAATGTTGTTACGTGAGAAAAGTATCCTGCAAAACAAATTGTGTTAAAAAAAAAAAAAACACAGGCAGAAGACATGCAGAAAGGAGACACAGGGACTAGTAGCCACAGGGATCAGGGTCTGGTCAACGTGCAGGGGAAAACTTGCTTTTCCTTCATGTCACTTGGAACGTTGTGTCATTTGCTTTCTCCTTTACTTAAATCTATCTATAATTATTTTTTGTAGATAAAAGAATGGATGAGAAGTAGTTGGTTATATATGTGTGCATTTAAAAATGACTCAACAAAAATTCTGCACATCTTCATTACATCCAGTGCCCTGTGCTGCCTTCTTTATCTGAATAGCACCTTGACCACCCAAAGTGTCCAATTTACACCCAAAAGTATATTCCAGCAGGAACATTTCCACAGTGCAAAAATACTGTCACACAGTTACTGTTTGTTTGAGAGATGCAAATAATTTATTATCAAAACAATCAATTTTATATTTAAGTACTGGATCCAAAGTCATTTACAGAAACGCAATTAAGAATATTACAAACCCTGATTAGTGTGGTTCAGCTTCTGTGTCTGGCATCTGGCAACTAGGGTTCATTATCCAGCTTCCACTCTGGAGTCTGGCTGTGGAGTCTTGGTTACGGATCTGGGTCCTGTCTCTGAGGTCTGTGGCCTTGGTTTGAATCTATTTGGCTATGGGTCTCAGATCTGGGGTCTCTTTGGGTGTGGCTTTGGGGTCTCTGGGTTTATGTGGGGGGTCTCTGTACATGTCTATAAATTTATAGTCGGCTCCAAGTCAATGTCAAGAGGTATTCCAAGGTTGGGGTGTGGTGAAGAAGAAAACTTTAGTGAAAATATCTCAATTTTAATATAGAATAGTCGCGAGTACAGAATGGTTGTTAAGAAGCTCAGTATTGTCACAGGTGAATTATGAAGCAGCACTCTGTGTATCAAACTCAGTACTGCTGCTTCCTAGTCATGTAGCATCAGGGCTGTGAGGAGGCCCTGAAGTGGGGCAGCCCTGGGGCAAACTCCCTCTCCAGTTGTGCTGCCTAGGGCTTCTTCACTCATTTACATGACTTCTGGTCTAGACCTTCATTTCCTCTTTGCTGGGCTGCATTTGCACAAGAAGTGAAAGCTGGAAAAGGAGCCCCTCTGAATGATGAGATCAGGCTCTGGTATTGTCACAGCAACACACTAGGGTATTATTATTTTAAAATTATGCCGAGGTTTCCTCTAGTACTTTTAAAGCACAAACTGAGATGGCCTTTTTATTGTTATTGTTGCCACTTACTTAAATTATATAGAAAAATAAAAATAACTGAAGATCATACCCAAACAGGTAATAACTGCTATTATATTAAGTATATATGCTTCTAAACAAGGTGCGGTGTGTGCGGCGGGATGGGCGGAGGAGGGCACAAAGGAAAAATTGGGAAACTATAATAGAATAACAATAAAAAAATAATGTAATAAAAAGGTATATACCCTTCCAGACATCACTACTTGCATATTTCCATTCTTCCACTTTCTCTGGATTTATTATTTCAGGTTTGTAATATGATGCAAAATTTGTGAATCTTCAGGCTTTTCCCCTAATGTGTGGATTTATCAACACCTTTTTCAGAGTGTTTTTCATGTACAATTTTATTATCATTCAGTTTAAATTAATTTTAATTTAATTTGTGGGTTATTTACAAGTGTATTTTACCATTTTTAAACATAAGGACTCTCTAGTTATCTTTTATTACTGATTGGTAGATAAGCTGCAATGAGAACAAGAAACCTACTTTATATAATTTCAATCCTTTGATATATTTTCTTGAAACTTGCTCCACAGTAGAATATGGTCAATGTAAAAACGACAATAATAATAAGAACAACAAGAACAAACCCCAGAAAACCCTCCAAGCTCGGTTCTGTGCTGCCATCTCGTTAGTTTTGGGAATAACACCTTAGTGCTTGTCAGCAAGAAAAAATGGTTGATTCTGGTGGAATATCAATGGCTGTTGATGGCAGTGGTATTTAGAATTGTATTTTATAATGTCCCAAGGTGTGGAATGGTCAGTTACATTGTGACCGGTTTCTGGATGAGGGCAAAGGATGCAATAAATGTGTTTTATGTGCCATTTATTGGAACTTGCTGTATAGTGTAATAGAGTTAGGTTTTTAGAAGTTCCGAGTGTGCTTGACAATCATTTGTAATGTGCTTTGTTTGTTGCGGCTTCCTTAAACAATAAAGAAAATAAAATCTTTTAAAAATAAATTTTAACCTAGGAGGTTAAAAAAATAAAACTGCTATCATTTTATACCTAAAAATCGAACCAGCCATTTTGCCAATCTTCTGATACATGGCCCAAGTGTGCGTCTCTGCTGCCATCTAGTGGGAATTGTTGGGAATAACACTTTAGTACGGGTCAGCAGGAAAAGTGGTTGATTATAGTGGAATATCAGAGACTGTTGATTTTTTTTGAAGACTGTTGCAAGGTACAAGTCTCAGGTCCCAGTGTCAGTGATCAGTTCTTGGGATCACTTTTTATGAGCATACCATCTAGGCCAGACACTACATTTGGGAGTGCACCATTGGTTCTTTTCTTTGCTTGTATCTTTAAATTACTCTTTGTGCATACAAAAGAATAATTTATCTCTGCATTTTATTTACTACACAATTTACTAAGTGGTATCATTTGTAATAACTTTAAGTTGATATTCAAGAGTTGTCAAGGTAAATAAGATATCGTGCAATAATAAAATTACATTAGTTTAGCTGTATAAGGCATGAAAAATAGAGCTTGGAATAAAACATGAGGATATGAAGAGTTAAAAATGTGCTAGTTATAAGTTCATTAATAATTAGATAAAATAGTAACATGCTTCTTAGCATTGTAAATGAGTTCAGGACCTGGAGCAGTGGTGTTTTAGAAATCAGAAGTACTTTGTAGGTAAAATTGCGCC